GACTTCTGGGCAATAGCTAGGAGGAGCAGAACAGACTAGCATGAAAAACTGACAGCCCTTCCCATAGTCAGGGGTCCCTGACATTTGGTGCCTGCAGATTCTGAACCCCTGACCCACACATGCCCAACCTCCCTCCACTCTGCGGGGTCTTTTGTTCCTGTTTCCAAAGAGCCAGGAAGGACCGGACTCCACCCTAGTCCATCCACTGAAGTTCCGGATGAAGGACGCTGGGTGCCTAGGAGGCCCACACCCATTTACACTCATCTGTCCCAGAAAACTACGGAACAGGTGTTGTGGGCTGGGCAGACCTGGCTCCAAATCCTGTTTCTGTCTTCTTTCACTTTGTTTTGAGCCTCAGTTCCCTCATCTGGAGATTGAAAACCATACTCTCCAGAATTGTTTTACACACTAAGACAAGGTTTATATAGCTTAAGAAGTAGAGATTGTTCATTATCTGAATAAACAGAGGTGGTTAATGATCTTTTTCTTGTATATTATGAATGACAGGGAAAAGTCAGGAGGGAAAATTCCTCCAAAGTTTCCCTCTGCACTTTAGAATAAAACCCCAAATCCTTACCCAGCCCAGGAGGCCCTGCTTGGCCTGAGTATGTCTCATTATTTAGCTCTGTACCCTCCTGGGCTTGGGCCTTACCACACCAGCCACTCAACACTCCCACCTCTGGGTCTTTGAACCCGCTGTTCCCTGCATCCAGCATGATTTCACTCTTTTTTCCATCCCAAGTCCTAGTTGAAAAGGCTCATTCCTTGAGAGGTATCCCCAGACTCTCCTAATTCTAGTTCCGCTCTGATCTCCTGTCTCATGACATGCTGTTGTTTTCACTTAAAGCACTTTCCACAAGTTATAATTATGTATTTACTTGTGTGCTTACTGCCCTAACCTCCCACTTATGGACTGTTGTTTATGTCCCTCCAAAGTTCACATGGTGAGGGAGGACCCCCAGTTTGATGGTGTTTACAGATAGGGCTGTTGGGAGGTGAATAGGTTTAAATGAGGTCAGGGAGGTGGAGCCCCAATGATGGGATTAGTGCCCTTATAGCAAGAGACATGAGGGACCTCTTTCACAAACCAGGAAGAGGGTCCTCACCAAACTCCCATGCTGGCAAACAGGTCTCACACTTCCAGCCTGCAGAAGTGTGAGAGATAAATGTTTGTTGCTTAAGCCCTCCAGTCTATGATAGTTTTAGCAACCCAAGCTGACTAGGACATCCTCTCCACCCCCCAGCCTACAAATTCCATATGGTCAGAGGCTGGGTCTGTTTCATTCATTGCTGTAATCCAAGTACTTAGTAGACTCCTGGCACCAGCAAGATTTTCTGATAATATTTGTTGAATTAACATGTTGCAGAATTGAAGCCCCAAAATGCCAGGAGGAACCAAGAGCTACAAATAGCTTTCTAACAGCCTTCCACACCAGGGTGGGGGGCCAGCAGAGCACTTCACAACCACAGAAAGTCAGAAAAACAATTACTACCTCATTATCAGGAATGCTAAAGCAGCCACACCTCACTCAACAGAGAATTTGCCTTTCTGGGCCCCCAAATTACACTTACCCAGACCTCAGGGAAGATTGCCAGAACTCAAGAAGAGGCCAAAGCCACTGGGGTAAAGGAGAGGGAGGATGAGTAAGGAATGTCAAAAAAGGTGGTGTACTTAGAACAGACCACTGTACCTTCGATGTAATATTGTTTTCAATACTGTTGCTGTCCACCGGAGTCTCAACCTGGGATCTCCTAGGCCTGGTTTCTGTCTTCCAAATACCCCCCACATCTGTCTGGGTGAAGGCATGTTTTATGACACAAAGACTAACAATCTCAGTGCATCAAGATGACATTTATCTCAAAACTAACATTGTAACCCACTCTAATAATGTTAGTCAATACCAGTGTCAGATTTTTTTTTTTCAGTCGATATTAGATTAACCAGCCTAAGCAATGGATGAGGTTTAAGGTTATCTGGAAGTGGGAGGAGGCGACAGGAGGAGTGAGCCTCCACTTTCACTTCCTAAGTAAGCTGCTCTTTGCAAGCAGGGGCTCTGTTTTCCAGAAATACGGCCCTACACAGAGCATAAGCACATCTGACTATTAATGGCAGGTGGTGGGCTTCAGGAGGTAGGTAGAATAAGCAGGGGCTGGGGTACTCACTGAGCAGCTGGGGCAGTAGTTAAGAACAGGGACTTTGCTTCAAGTCCTGGGATAGACTTTGGGCTAGTTATTTAATCTTGTTGAGCCTCAGTTGTCTCCTCTATAAAACAGGGCAAATGATAACCACTGCACAGGGTCACTGGGAAGATAAAATATGCTAAAAAACAAACAACAAAAACTCTAAACTCTTAGACCAGTGTGGGACACAGGAAGTCTATGTAAATGCTATTCTTATTTAGGGTCTACCAGATCAGGCCTGTCATCATTTCATGTAATCAAACCAAGCCTCAAAGCAATCTTTCCAGATAGATAGAGTTAGCCCATTTTACAGATTCAAAAGCCAAGGCTCAAGAGGATTAAAAACCTTATCTGAAGTCACACAGCTAGGAGAAGGAAAGACCAGCCCTGGAACCAAAGTAATCATCATACTCTTTATCATCATAATCATGACTTACTAGAAGGTGAGTGATGTGCTAAGCACTTTACATAGATTAGCTCATCAAATACTGAAAACTACCCAACAAGAAAGGCATTATTGTAACTATTTTACAAAGCAGGACACGGAGCTGAAGTGGTTAAGTATGTTGGCGAAGGTCACAGTTAAGGCAGCGATCCCCAACCTTTTTGGCACGAGGAACTGGTTTTGTGGAAGACAATTTTTCCACAGATGGTGGGCGAGTGGGGGTATGCAGGAGATGGTTTCAGGATGAAACGGTTCCACCTCAGATCATCAGGCATTAGATTCTGATAAGGAATGCGCAGCCTAGATCCCTCCCATGTGCAGTTCACAATACGGTTCCCCTCGTATGAGAATCTGATGCCGCCGCTGATCTGGCAGGAGGCAGAGCTCAGACGGTAATGCTAGCTCGCTGCTGCTCACCTCCTGCTGTGTGGCCCAGTTCCTAACAGGCCACCGACTGGTACTGGTCCATGGCCTAGGGATTGGGGACCCCTGAATTAAGTAATAAAATAGGAACTTGATCCTGGTTCTGACTCCAAAACCCATTGTTTCTTCCATTTCAGCCCCACATGTCTGGTATACGTTATAGATCCAACATCTCTATTTGAAATCATCAACATGCCTGTTTTCATATTAAGTATGAAACACTAGGCCGGGCACGGTGGCTCACGCCTGTAATCCCAGCACTTTGGGAGGCTGAGGCGGGTGGATCACGAGGTCAGGAGATTGAGACCATCCTGGCTAACATGGTGAAACCCCGTCTCTACTAAAAATACAAAAAAAATTAGCCTGGCATGGTGGCGCGTGCCTGTAGTCCCAGCTACTCGGGAGGCTGAGGCAGGAGAATGGCGTGAACCCGGGAGGCGGAGCTTGCAGTGAGCCAAGATGGCGCCACTGCACTCCAACCTGTGCGACAGAGTGAGACTCCGTCTCACAAAACAAAAGAATAAACACTAGCTTTGTTAAATGGAGTCCAGGAATGACCCACTCACTGAAGGGGCCTGTCTTGTAAGGAGTTAGGATATCCCCTGCCAAAAAAGCCTAGCTTTCCCCGAATTCCTTCCAAGAAGGTTTGGTTTTGAGGTCATAGGCAGAAATCTGGGCATGTGTTACAAGAAGCAGGGGAAGTTCTTACTCATTAGACCTTTAATCTTTTGGGAATTAGAACAAGAATACTCTCCAAAGTAAATCATCATCTGCTCTTGGCTCTGCTACCATGTAAGGAGTTTACTTAGCAATATGTGACTGCCAGGCCCAGTTGCAGGTGGCTCTGAAAATATCTACCAAGTGACTACATTCTCCCAATTCTGACCCTAACCTGTATGGCGGCAATGACAGAACAGAAGGTCAAGGGACATCAACTTTCTGAAACAAACATAATCATGGTAGATGTTCGTGCTTTATTAAAATCTTAATCTACCAAAACCTGGCACTAATCTGGTATTCACTTTGCAATTATCTGGGCCCTTACTACAGTGCTCTATAATTTGGAGGAAAAGGACACTTCAGTAAAACAAATTCTAAAGTGGCAGTTTACTAGAGAGTAACTTTTAATTTCCATACAGTATAATGCAAAATTGCCTTGTTGGTTCTAAGGACATGCCTCATCAGGGAACTCTGCCGCATTAGAGGACCAAGGTAGGATCCCTTCAGAGTGGCATCATCCCCAGTTGGCTCAATGGCTCCAGAGACAGGGAGGATGGCAAAGGGAAGAGGTGGTGGCATGCTTGCCTTGGCCAACTCTGCACAGGAATCTTTGCCCACAGTTTGGTCTGTGCCACTTCCAGATAAAACACATGTTTAAATAAGAGTTCAAGCCAGGAAGTCTTGCTTGGATGAACTTTCTAGTGTGGGTAAAAAACGTCAACTAACTGACATGCCAGTGACTACTCACCTCTCACCACAAGAGTCAAGTTTAGAAACAACACTTGCCCTCAACAAGTATTTGATGCACTAAAGAGTTTTTCTAGAAACCAGTTCAGACCTTTTGGGTAAATCAAAGAAGGCCCTTTGTGTGACATGCAACTGAGTGTCCCCAGAAGATAAAAGAAAACAGGACTTTTGAAAACTTGCAAAATACCTAGAGCCTCTGCATGACAAAAATTCAGCATCAGTACACATTTTACCTTTTCTAATTTCTTCTCGCCTAAAACAAATCCCCCCAATAATAAGAATGATAGAAGAAACTAGTAACTTAAAACTTAAATCCTACGTTCACATCTTAGATTTTGAGCAAATATTGAATCCTTTTCTTTGAATGAGAGATAAGACTTTGATAGTCTTGTGTAAGCAAACATCAGTGATCACACATACACTAGAAAAAAAAAGCGCTGCTGTTAGGATCAAAGTGACCGTCCATGATGCACAGAGCACGTACCAGGGTAAAGTTCCAGCTGGGACGCAGGCATCAGCAATTGTAGAATTTGGGTTCTCTCTTCCTCAGATCCCTGACTGTCCTTGGTCATTGAAGAAAGATTCACTGTCCCTAGGCCAAGAGTCAGGAGCAAAACAGGAACATCAAGGGTGTGGTCTGAGGATGTTGCCAGTAGGGAGCAACATGCGTGTATGTGCACATACACTAATTCTGAGACCCTGTCCACAGCCCAGCTTTCTTGGAAAGCCATTTAAAAGATATATATGTGGCAACAGAAGGGAGGAAGTCTCAAAATTAAGCACAGTTTGTGTGTGTGTGTGTGTCAAAACATTCATTTCTATCACATGCAGTAAAACTGTATTCCAGAGCCATTAATATGCCCTGGGGGAGTGAGGGGATTTGCAGCCTAAGATTCCAGACTTAAAGCCTGCTAAGGCCCTGAGCTGGGCAGCAGGGTGAGAGAAGGAATGGAGCGTTGAAGGGGACATTTTATAGACAAACATTCTCCCTCATAGTGGCTGTACTAAGTAAACAATTGACAGGCACAAACTGCCACTCCAGTGTCTAATAACTACCCCTGCCAGAGCACCTGCCAAGCACCTGCCAGCGCCACAACCTTCCAGGTGTGTGATGCACATCATCTCGCCGAACTATGCTAGCCTCAGGAGAGAGGCGCTCTTCATTTTACAGGTGGGAAAACAGGGGCTTGGAGAGGTCAAGGAACTTGCCCAAAGTCACAGCATAGAAGTGACAGAATCCGAATTTGGACCCAGATTTGATGGGTTCCAAAGTGTGAACTTATTTCTCCACTCCACAAAAATAAAACCTACTCTTCTTACAATCTTTGAAAGACCCCTCTTCTACCACTCTGCCGTTTGTTTTAAACATAGCTTGCTTATCTGTCTCTACCACTCCCCTGGCTGCTTGTTTTAATATATTGTTTATCTGTCTGGAGGCATATTCTGGTAGAAGTCTGTACTTTGTCAATGCCTGGCTTGCTTGACTTGTGTTTACCTGGCCTCCTGGTGCATTCACGCCCAGGTGAGAACAGGGTATCCACCTCTCTAAGATGCATCGGGAGTTACTCTTTACCTTCCTGAAAGCAGGCAGTTCAATATTCAACAGGGCTTCGAGGGAGAACAACCGACTTTGGCAAGCATGGCTTGGTTTCACTTCTTTATTGGCTTGCTTGCTCTGTTTTTGACGAGTTTCGCTCTTGCTGCCCAGGCTGGGAGTAACAGGCATCTTGGTTCACTGCAACCCTGCCTCCCGGTTCAAGATACCTCCTGCCTCTGGGGCCTCCCGAGGCTGGAGATTACAGGCATGTGCCACCACGCCTGTGCTAATTATTTCCTATTTTTATTTTTTTTAAGTCGAGACAGAGTTTCACCCATGTTGGGCCAGGCTGGTCTTGAACTCCCGACCCCAGGTGATCCACCCGCCTCAGCCTCCCAAAGTGCTGGGAGATTACAGGGCGTGAGCCACTGCGCCCAGCCCTGGCTTCACCCCAGCTAAGAAAGGCTAAAGTCAACACAAGGTGGGTTTACTAGCTCCCAGACTTAATTTCAAACACCAATAACCGAACGCTTCTCAGAATGTGAAGAGTTTAATGGGACATCACTATCTGTCATTTCCTATGTTTTTCACAATGTGCTAAAACCACTGCGCACATTGGAGGCTTTTTTGAATGTGTGATATTCAGGCCACCTTGCCAAGCATTGTCTCATTTCTTACTTTTGGTGGAGCTTTTGAAACCAAAGGAAGTTCTCACTGCCCCAGGCCCAAGTGACACTGGGAGCAGCTGTCCTTGGCCTGCGGTATGGGACTCCTATGAAGACTCGTGGCTAGGCTGCCCTGCCTGCCCTCCAGCCTTTGGTCACAAACCCTCCAATGCTGGCTGCACACTGGAATCACTTGGGAGCTTTAAAAGATACGAGTCCCGGTCTGACTCTGTGAAATTTGGACGGAATTGATCTTAGGCGCAGCCTAGACATCTGGATTTTAAAAGTCACTCGTGTGTCCTGTGTAAGATGCTGAATGATTGAGAACCCTGCCTTCGACCGCTACCGGGATAAACGATCTCCATGATTTTTGCGGTTCATCCCTCTCAACTTCTGTTACATTCTTTCAAACTCGCGGGTGTCCCGGTTACCCACCTAGAGCCCTCCAGAGCTGCGCTGGCGTTCCGCCCGCACGCAGATCCCCGCCTCCTGCGCCTCCCTGCTCGCAGCGCCCAGGATCCCAGAAGCGTCTGCTCCCAGGCGAATCCCAGCCGCTGGAGACTTACTTGGCTACCTTGGTGGTTTAGTTAGACCTCTGCAGCTGCTGAGAGCTTTCAGATGGTGAATGAGTCCCCAGAGAGCGCCGTGGTCCGGGGCGCCGGGCCAGAGCGCGGCCCGGGAGGGCGCTGGCCGCAGTTGCGCCGAGAGGGAGGGCAGGACTTAGGGCGGTTCGCGGCCCGGAACGGGAACTGGCCGCGACAACAGCCTCAGCCGCGCCCTCTGTCGGCGCGTCGCCGAGTTCGCTTCGCTGCCGAGAGGCCGCGGCCGGCGGGGGCGGTCATGGTGGTCCCACCGCGTTGCTGTTGCCGCCAGTCCGGGTCGGGCGCGGGGGCGGTGAGAGAGAAGCTGCACGCAGAGGGGCGCCCGGTGCATTGTGGAGGGTGAGCAGCCGATGCCACCGCGCAAGGCCGAGTGAACAGGCCCAAGTTCGCCCAGAGGTGACACACTTGGGAATTCGTGGTGTCATCGTGCCAGGCCCGTCCCCCTACAAGTGCCTACCCAGCACCTGCAACCAGAGCCAAGGCCTGGACATGATAGGGAAACTTGTTAATAGGTGACACGTGGTCCTGAGGAAATCGAGCTTAGTGTAATCAAATTTGAATAACACTGCATACATTTCAATTTATACTTTTTAAAAAATCTAAGCTTTTCTTCCTATCCTTAAATTTGTTCTTGGCAGTGCACATTTTATGTTCTATGCATATGCTGTAATAAATTGTAAAGGAGTTTTTAACGTGCTGGTAAATGTCCCCAATAAAATAGTTTAAAACGTTTTGAATGGGGAACGTGTCCATAAAGGATATCGATGCTATAGTAAGTTGTCACTTATTCACACTGAAGAAGTACATTCAATCGTGTAGTCACTAATGTTTGTGAGTATTAAAATTCCCATCAGAGGCTGCTTTCTGAGAAAGAGAAAGTATGTTCTTAAATCAAATGTGAAACTGCAAACGTAAAGTTGATAGGATCAATGTGCCAACTTGTAAGGTCAGGCCTCTGAGTCCAAGCCTGCACTTATACATCCAGATGGCCTGAAGCAACTGAAGAATCACAAAGGAAGTGAAAATGGCTGGTTCCTGCCTTAACTGATGACATTACCTTGTGAAATTACTTCTCCTGGCTCAGAAGCTCCCCCACCGGGCACCCTGTGACCCCCGCCCTTGCCTGCCAGAGAACAACCCCCTTTGACAGTAATTTTCCACTACCCACCCAAATCCTATAAAACTGCCCCACCCTGGCAGGGCGTGGTGGCTCACGCCTGTGATCCCAGCACTTTTGGAGGCCAAGGCTGGCAGATCACGAGGTCAGGAGACGGAGACCATCCTGGCTAACACGGTGAAACCCCGTCTCTACTAAAAAATACAAAAAATTAGCCCAGTGAGGTGGCAGGCACCTGTAGTCCCAGCTGCTCTGGAGGCTGAGGCAGGAGAATGGCAGGCACCTGGGAGGCAGAGCTTGCAGTGAACCAAGATCGCGCCACTGCACTCCAGCCTGGGCGACAGAGCAAGACTCATCTCAAAAAAAAAAAAAAAAAAAAAAAAAGGCCTCACCCCTAACTCCCTTTACTTAAAAAACTTTATTGCTCACAAAGCATGTTTGGTGATCTCTTCACATGGACGTGTGTGACAGTAAGAACTGGAATGATGGCTAGGATATGTGAACCCCAAATATCTGAGGCAGTCTCAGTTAACTTAGAAAGTTTATTTTGCCAAGGTTGAGGCTGCTCACCCCTGACACAACATCAGGAGGTCCTGACATGTGCCCCAGGTGGTCAGAGCACAGTTTGGTTTTATACATTTTAGGGACACATGAGACATCAATCAATGTATGTAACATGAACATTGGTTCAGTCTGGAAAGGTGGGACAACTCAAGCAGGGAGGTCTTCCAGGTCACAGGTAGGTGAGAGACAAACGTTGTATCCTTTTGAGTTTCTGATCAGCCTTTCCGAAGGAGCCAATCAGATACGCATTTATCTCAGTGACCAGAGGGATGATTTTGAATAGAATGGGGAGGCAGGTTTGCCCTAAGCAGACCCCAACTTGACTTTTCCCTTTAGCTTGGTGATTTTGGGGCTCCAAGATTTATTTTCCTTCACAGATACTAATTCCTCCAGTCTATCCTTATATGAGCCTATGGTAGAAAAATTAGACATTTACTTTTCCTTTTCCTCTAGGATTCTGAACTCTACCTTCCATGTAGTAACTTCTCATTCTATTTTCCTTATCCTGTTTCTCTGGCTGCATTCTGAGTCACTTCAGTTCTGTCTTTTGACTCAGTAATTATTTCGTAGATGTTTGAATCTGTTTTTTAACCTGTCTATGGCAGGCAGAGTAATCTCCCCCCAATGATGTCCACATCCTACCCCTGGAAGCTGTGAATATGGCAAAGGGGCACTAAGGTTGCAGGTGGAATTAAGATTGCTAATCAGCTGACCTAGATGGAGGGATTATCCTGGGTTATTGAGGTGGGCCCGATGTAATCACAAGGGAACTAAAAAGTGGAAGAATGAGGCAGAAGAGGAAGAACCAGAGAGATGGCAGCCTGAGAAGGACTCGGCCAACATTGCTGGTTTTGAAGATGGATGAATGAGACTGAGCCAAGGAATGCAGGTGGCCTCTAGTGCTGCAAAAGACAAGGAAATGGATTCTCCCACAGACCCTCCAGAAGGAATGCAGTCCTGCCAACACTATGATTTTAGCCCAGTGAGACCCCTTTTGGAATGCTGGCCTCCAGAACCCTAAGATAATAAATTTGTATTATTTAAGACACTAAATTTATGGTATTTTGTTATAGCAGTAGTAGGAAAGTAACACACCATCTATTTAAGTTTTTAATTTTAACAATAATATCTTTATTTTCTAGGTTTTTTAGATTTTTTTTTTGGTCTATTTCTAGCTTTCTTGGTCATTTTTAATACTCTCCTTTTCTTTGTTGATTTTATAATTTAAAAACTATTTCATAGTTGTTTTTGCTTTTAAAAAAGTTTATTATTGAGACATAATGTTTGTATTTTTATGGGGTACATGTGATATTTTGTTACAAGCATAGATTGTAATAATCAAGTCAGGGTATTTGGAGTGTCTACCACCTTAAGTATTTATCATTTCTTTCTTTCTTTACTTTTTTTTTTTTTTTTTTTGAGAGAGAGTTTCACTTTTGTCACCCAGGCTGGAGTGCAGTGGCACGATCTTGGCTCACTGCAACCTTTGTCTCACAGGTTCAAGCAATTCTCCTGCCTCAGCCTCCCAAAGTAGCTGGGATTACAGGTGCCCGCTACCATGCTCAGCTATTTTTTTGTATTTTTAGTTGAGACAGGGTTTCACCATGTTGGCCAGGTTGCTCTTGAACTCCTGACCTCAGGTGATCCACCCACCTCTATCGGGGGAACCCACCCCCAGTATTTTAATGTAGGTTCTTCCTATTTTCCCTAAGTGTCAGCCAGCTGAGAAATAAAGAGAAAGAGTACAAAGAGAGGAATTTTACAGCTGGGCCTCTGGAGGTGACATCACATATCAGTAGGACCATGATGCCCAACTGAGCTGCAAAACCAGCAGGTTTTTATTAAGGACTTTAAAAGAGGAGCGAGTGTACGAGCAGGGAGTAGGTCACAA